AAAAGGCATCGGGGCTCAAGAGCGAGATTGCATCAGCATTTGATCGAAAATTAGCTCGTCGCTTATGAGGCCCTTGTAGTGTGAAGACCTTTAGCGAGTGATACTTGAAGTTACAAATATTTGAGTTCCTTTTTTTTTACTTCGGTTGATTACAATGACAATATTTGAACTGTAGTATAAAATGTACCCGGCACGCTGACGGGTAACCGGTCGAGTCGCCCGAAAGTCATCTCGCCGTAGTGATGTCGCCCGGAACCAGAATCATGTTGCCCGAAATTCATAGTCATGTCGCCCAAAATCCTAAGTTCGTTCATATCATTGATTTTATGTACATTTATGCTGAGGTTGGGTTTTGATTCAATTGTTCAATTTAACCAGTAAGGTTTCATGTATCTTACATCGAAAGTAACGAACAGTTAAGCGATTTCCGTAAACATGTAACTACTTAGCCTGGATACTGTTTGCTCACTACCTGCGTATACAAAGTCCGTTAAATGTGCTTATTGTTCACTTCAGAACCTAATGCTGCTCCTTTGAATGTGGAGGGACATAACACAAGCTCAACCAGCATCTTTGTAACATGGGATGATGTTCCAGCTGCTGATAAAAATGGTATCATTACGAGTTACAACATCACTTATCACTCACTAACAGAGAATCACGCTAACAGTACAACAGTGGATCATCCAGATCGTCAAGTGACTCTCATAGGTCTGAGAGAGTTTGTTAACTACAGCATCACAGTGTCCGCTTCCACGGTGAAAGGAAATGGACCTGAAAGCGTTCCTGTTATTGTCAGTACTGGCGAAGATAGTGAGTTATTTCGCTTTTGGATGGATTTTCTTTGTTGATTTTAAAAACTTAGTTCTCATTTCTTAACACAGTCCAGCCCAAGGCTAGACCTATTAGAGGCAGTAGCTATTTTTCTTTTTCATATGTACAATAAAAAAAGATGTTATTGATTATTTGGCTGTATAAAAGGAATTCTCACCTAATTTATTTCAGAACCATTCGCTGCTCCTTTGGATGTGAAAGGATATAACACAAGCTCAACCAGCATCTTAGTAGAGTGGGATCATGTTTCAAAGCCCGATCGGAATGGCATCATTACGAGTTACAACATAACCTATCACTCACTGACAGAGAATCACAGTAACAGTACAATAGTGGATTTTCCAGGTCGTCAAGTGACTCTGACGGGTCTGAAAAAGTTTGTTAACTACAGCATCACAGTGTCTGCCTCTACGAAGATAGGACCTGGACCAGCCAGTAACCCCGTAATTGTCAGTACTGGCGAGGATAGTAAGTGATTTTGCTTTTTGGTTATATTCGTATGATAATCGAACCAGTTTTCGCAAGAAACTTGGTACTATTCATTTCTTCTAATCCTCAGGATTTAGATTATGGGTAAACTTCTACAATATTTTTATACTTAATAACTTAATTTATTACTTCAAATGAGTACGAAATCAACGTTTTCTGTCAATTCATTCGGGTTATCGACAAGAACTGTTATGCCAAGGGTTCTTGTGTAATGCAAATTTTCTTTGTGCTCTTTCCTTTAATTGTGCAATTTCCACTCGAGTTTAATTGTTCCTTGTATAGAAAGAAATGTCACGTTAAGAGTTATGTGCATAAGCTCTTAGCCTTGAGACTGTTGACTACTCCTTTCGAAAATAGTCTCCTATCCAATTTTTTCTTATATTTCACTTCAGACCCTTCTGCTCCTCCTGTGAGTGTTAGAGGACATAACACGAGCTCAACTAGCATCTTAGTTACATGGGGATACGTTCCAGCTTTTGAGCAAAATGGTATCATCACGAGTTACAACGTTACGTATAACTCACTGACAGAGAATGACAGTAACAGCACAACAGTGGATTTTCCAGCTAATAAAGTGACCCTGAGGGGTCTGAGAGAGTTTGTTAACTACAGCATCACAGTGTTTGCTTCTACGAAGATAGGTCCTGGACCGGCCAGTAAACGCATTGTTGTCAGTACTGGTGAAGATAGTGAGTAATTTCGCTTTTGGATTGATGTTTTTCGTTGTATTTCAGAAGCTTAGTTCTTAGCTCTTAACACAGTCCAGTCCAGTGCCAGACCTAATATGTAGAGTAACTTTTTTTTCATATGTACAATAAAAAAAAGATGTTATTGATTATTTGGCTGTATAAAAGGAATTCTAACCTAATTTATTTCAGAACCATCTGCTGCTCCTTTGGGTGTGAGAGGATATAACACAAGCTCAACCAGCATCTTAGTAGAGTGGGATCATGTTTCAAAGCCCGATCGGAATGGCATCATTACGAGTTACAACATAACCTATCACTCACTGACAGAGAATCACAGTAACAGTACAATAGTGGATTTTCCAGGTCGTCAAGTGACTCTGACGGGTCTGAAAAAGTTTGTTAACTACAGCATCACAGTGTCTGCCTCTACGAAGATAGGACCTGGACCAGCCAGTAACCCCGTAATTGTCAGTACTGGCGAGGATAGTAAGTGATTTTGCTTTTGGTTATATTCGTATGAATATATTTAGACTCGTTGACAATCGAACCAGTTTTCGCAAGAAACTTGGTACTATTCATTTCTTCTAATCCTCAGGATTTAGATTATGGGTAAACTTCTACAATATTTTTATACTTAATAACTTAATTTGTTACTTCAAATGAGTACGAAATCAACGTTTTCTGTCAATTCATTCGGGTTATCGACAAGAACTGTTATGCCAAGGGTTCTTGTGTAATGCAAATTTTCTTTGTGCTCTTTCCTTTAATTGTGCAATTTCCACTCGAGTTTAATTGTTCCTTGTATAGAAAGAAATGTCACGTTAAGAGTTATGTGCATAAGCTCTTAGCCTTGAGACTGTTGACTACTCCTTTCGAAAACAGTCTTCTATCCAATTTTTTCCTATATTTCACTTCAGACCCTTCTGCTCCTCCTGTGAGTGTTAGAGGACATAACACGAGCTCAACTAGCATCTTAGTTACTTGGGGATACGTTCCAGCTTTTGAGCAAAATGGTATCATCACGAGTTACAACGTTACGTATAACTCACTGACAGAGAATGACAGTAACAGCACAACAGTGGATTTTCCAGCTAATAAAGTGACCCTGAGGGGTCTGAGAGAGTTTGTTAACTACAGCATCACAGTGTTTGCTTCTACGAAGATAGGTCCTGGACCGGCCAGTAAACGCATTGTTGTCAGTACTGGTGAAGATAGTGAGTAATTTCGCTTTTGGATTGATGTTTTTCGTTGTATTTCAGAAGCTTAGTTCTTAGCTCTTAACACAGTCCAGTCCAGTGCCAGACCTAATATGTAGAGTAACTTTTTTTTCATATGTACAATAAAAAAAAGATGTTATTGATTATTTGGTTGTATAAAAGGAATTCTAAACTAATTTATTTCAGAACCATCTGCTACTCCTTTGGGTGTGAAAGGATATAACACAAGCTCAACCAGCATCTTAGTAGAGTGGGATCATGTTTCAAAGCCCGATCGGAATGGCATCATTACGAGTTACAACATTACCTATCACTCACTGACAGAGAATCACAGTAACAGTACAATAGTGGATTTTCCAGGTCGTCAAGTGACTCTGATTGGTTTGAAAGAGTTTGTTAACTACAGCATCACAGTGTCTGCCTCTACGAAGATAGGACCTGGACCAGCCAGTGAACCCATTGTTGTCATAACTGGCGAGGACAGTAAGGGATTTTGCTTTTTGTTTGATTTTTTAGCACAATAGTAAATCGTATTGTGTCCCTTCCCTTGCAACTTGACAAGCATCAAAGGACAAAGACACGTGCGTTGATCACATGGTCAATATTTGAAAATGCACGTGGTATAATCTGAAAGTGAGTGAACGAGATGATATTGTGTAGTAGTCCTGTCAACGTATGGTTGTAAGAAAGCGTCAAACGGGCTTGAATTCCTTTTCGTTTCTTGTTGATAAGAATTTGCTACTCTCATCCAACCCCAAAACGTCCTCAAGTCACGGAAAATTAAAGGGGACGAAGTTCCGAGGCGTTGATTGGAGGAATTTGGTTGTGTCACTTTAAAATCGATCTGATACTTTCAACAAGGCTCTATAATAACGTTATGATCCCTACCACATCCTCTCTCTCCCCCTCCCCTCCCCTCATCATTGGCAATAAACTGGTAGTCTGTTAGCCCTCCGTTAGGCATGAGAACCATGCCATTCTTCAATAAATTCTCCCCTTCCTCCTAGGCGATTACTTACGACGGGTTCCTAAAGGATGTTGCCTTAAAACAGGATAGTTTGTTTTTTTTTTAACTTCCGTCTTCCGTTACACTATTATTTTATTAGTTCTCAGCTCGAGAATCATCCGATGTTTGCATCAGGGTTACGAGTGAATGATTCAGTTTGATTACGATAACGTTCATAACTAAAGTGCATTTGTTCTAGAACCTTCTTCTCCTCCTGTTAACGTGAAAGGACAGAACGCAAGCTCAACCAGCATCCTAGTAGAGTGGGCTGAGGTTCCACTAGCTGATCAGAATGGCGTCATCTTAACTTACACCGTCAGCTATCAATCACTTATATTACAAACCCTTATTTGCTAGTCATTGCAAGGCTTCGACTTTTCAGAATTACGTGTATCTTAACCTTGAGAGGATAGAGTACGCGAACCTTCGTAAAACGACTGTCATACCGCCTCTACCTCGCAGGGAAGAAGCTGTTTTTCTTAAGCACTCCCTATCAGTCTAGCCCGCAATAAGGTCCTTATTGTTAGCGCCGCGGCAAGAGGGTATTTTCGCCTGCGAGCAAGTAAAACAAAGCGAGTAGGTGAGAGGTCTGCAAGGGATTTGGCATTAAATTTGTAATGGTGTATTCGCGGGCGAAGAAACATTCGTGTTGATGGAATAATAATAATGGCATGCTCGCGGGCTGAACCAGCTCATTCCCGAGTCTCACTTTAGAGACTTCCGCATACCCATTTCTTAAGGCCTATTTCATCACTTTTCCTTTCAGAACCTACCGCACCTCCTTCGAATGTGAGCGGACATAACACAAGCTCAACCAGCATCTTAGTAAGGTGGAATAATGTTCCACCTTTTGATCAGAATGGTATCATCACGAGTTACACCATTAAATACCAGTCACAAACAGAAGCTCATCAAGGAAGTGCTGTAGCTGGCCCTAATGACCGTAAAAAGGAATTAAAAGGTCTTAAAGAATACGTCAATTACAACATCACAGTACTTGCGTCGACTTGGAAAGGAGATGGACCAGACAGTAACCCTGCTATTGTTGTTAGAACAGACCAGGATAGTAAGTAATGTTTTTTTTTCAAGATGTCTTGTCTATGATAGATGTTTTACATCCGAACATCAGTATGCATATTCTCAACACTGTTCCCTATACATATGCAAAGGTGCTGACAAGGAGAACTTGTTGCACAATCAAGAGCTTTTCTAGCTGGTGATCATTTCCTTCATTCTCGTGACCTTAATGTTTGATTCAGGGGTGGTATTGTAAGAAGAAATTAGATGCTAGTCACTGTTATGGGTCAAAGGGTTTAGACTGATGTTTATCTTCACCCTCAGCTGATTGCTTTTAAAAATAAAAGTAATTTGAAGTGTGCATCATAAAATTGCACCTCAAAGGAAACTGTTAGTGTGACTGATGACCCAGAGAAATTCGGTGTCTTGAAAGCTCTTCACCTCAGTCTAAATTACCATAAAGAAAATCCTGTTTAGTTCACATTAAAAAAAATATATATATTTTTATGAAATCTTTTTTTCTCGCTCTTAAATTAGCCAACCCGCTTTCAAATGGTGATATTATCAGGTTTCACTCTGGGAGCTCGTAGATGGTCACTTTTGGATTGTCTGATCTCCAGTTAATAAGTTATTTATTTTCAATATAATATATACAAACTTTGCTCATTCATTTTAGAGCCCTCTGCTCCTCCTGCCAATATACGTGGACATAACACTAGCTCAACCAGCATCTTAGTACAGTGGAGAGAGGTTCCATCAGCAGATCAGAATGGCGTTATCTTAACTTACACCATAAGTTATCAATCACTGACACAGAAAGACAACGGCAGTAAAACAGTGGATTTTTCGAAAGAACAAACACTTCTCACAGGCTTAAAAAAGTTTGTTAACTACAACATCACTTTGTTTGCATCTACGGTGAAAGGAAATGGAAATCGTAGTGGTCCTATTTTTGTGATTACTGACCAGGATAGTAAGTGGTATTTTTTTCTGTTTGACTCCATACTTCGGTCATATGCAGATTCTACCAATGCTAATGTCTTTGTTATCCCTTATTGTTGTGGAAAGGTTGCGGCTTTTCAGAATTATTCAAACCTTTATCTAAAAAGGGAAATACATCGTTGAAAACAGAGTAGTGTCATGCCTTTTCTATCGCGTCTCTTTCGCTAACTTAATGCCGAGCAAAAGGTTTGCAAAAGGTTGCAGTTTGAATTACTTCGTAAATGTTGTAAAGCCTCTTTCTTGAACATATCTTCAGAACCTACTGCTGCTCCTTTAAAAGTGAGAGGACATAACACAAGTTCAACCAGTATCTTAGTCGAATGGGATGATGTTCCACCTTTTGATCGGAATGGTCTCATCACGAGTTACACCATTACTTACCGGTCACGAACGGAGAATCACAATGGATTTGTTAAAGCTAGTCGCAGTGACCGTCGAAATGAATTAACAGATCTTAGAGAGTACGTCAATTACACTATCACAGTACGTGCGTCGACTTCGAAAGGCGATGGACCGGAGAGTAACCTTATTGACGTTAGAACAGACCAGGATAGTAAGTACTGTTCTCGAATAGACTTACTTGTCCACGTGTAAGACTGATGTTTGTGTTAACCTTCCAGTTGTAGCTTTTCAGTGAAGATGGAAATAATTTGAAGTGGTTCTCTTAAGGAAATGCTTAATGTGTGTTATTACATTGTACAAATGAAAGGTTTAGAAAAAAACTTTTTTTCCCTAAAGTCCTTTCTTTTTTCGAGCAAGGTTCCGACCATTCTGCTTCTTAAAACATAAAACGTTTAAGATGGAAGGAACATAGCACTTTGAAGATGATCTTGTATTAGTTATTCCAAACCAGCTTTTTCCTAGAGTCTTGTTCTTTATGGTTCCCCTTCAAACGAAGTCTATAGCTCATCAACGGAATATAACCTTTTTTTTTTTTCTTTTTAACTTTAAGTTACCGCGGAAACATTGAAATTTCCATTTCGTAAACGTTCTTTTGAGAACCTTCGCTGGTCTTGATTTGAAGCGTAAATTAGTTTACTTCTTATCGAAATAACTTGTCAATGTGGCAGTCTTTATAATGAACTTAGAAAAAATTGAACTCCAAAGAGAGGTATATTTTTGCTAAGAGATTAAATAATTAATACAGATGTGAACATATGAAATAAAGTTATCCTTGCCATTGATTTTCAGAACCCAGTGGTGCTCCTGGGAACTTAAGTGTAATTAACACGACTTCAACAAGCATATTTGTCATGTGGAATGAGGTTTCGCCTAATGAACAGAATGGCATAATTGCTAGTTACAACGTCAGCTATCGAGCAATACTTGAAAATGGATCTGCTGGGCCCTTTTCTTCGGAATTAGTTATGGCCCCTACAAGGCACACGAACCTGAGCGGCCTAACAAAGGATATGCATTACAATGTCAGTGTGTTGGCATCCACAATCAAGGGCGACGGGATTTACAGCGACCCAAGGACGTTTAGGACAAACGAAGACAGTAAGTCCTTGTTTTCAACTACGCGACCTTTTAAAGTACAGCCGTCAGAAATCATTTATGTTTTTGATAGAAAGATGCGGTGAAATCAACAAGATCGGGTGGAATCCTCATACAGAATAATTTTTGTTCGGATAGATCGCCATAAGCAAATCAGCCTTTATACAAGAATCTATTTCAAGTGAATTTCAATTTCAAAGGGAAAGGGGTTATACAAGTAATGCTAACGACAAAATTACCAAGAATAACAGAGCGATTCGGTGATGTCTAGTCAAACTCTTCTTGTCCGTTTTCTATGAAGCCCGTCGATAATTCACGTTTTAAGTGGTCATTTGCTTCTTGTCACCTGCACCTTGCATGAAGCTTGTGGACGCTTTGGCGCAGCTAAAATCTTTCAAATTGGCTATTAATTAGACATTCGATGCCATTACCATCCTTCCTGTCATTCCATAGGTTGGCGTTTTTCGTCTGCACCACGGCTTTAAGCCTTCAATGTAAAAGAACGCAAAATGCCATCGTCGGTCCCAGTTACAAACAAACAATTTTTTTTCCCAAGAAAATTGCGAGAAACCACAAAAGTAACAACTGATAATTTCAGAAGACTGTCATGATAATTTAAGACCTCAATTTATTTAAATCATGCACTTGGACGATGGAAAATGGCGGATTAAGCGCGTAATGTGGTTGATTAGAATCCTTTTATTGTATCCTAAACACACACACCCAGTATCGTTAACCCACAGGCAGACCACACTAGCCAGACCACACGCTTGCCTTATCTCCTTTTCCTCTCTTAAAGGCCTCCGGCCAAAAGTAATTTTGTAAAAAAGACGCTTTAAACGGCCCATGAAGGCTAAAATATACCACAAATGAGTCGATAAACATTTACTTAACTTTATTGAGATGTGCAGACCGAAAGGTAATTCAGATATGCAATTTTCAAAGCTATATGCATAACCCTCGTAGATTTTGATCGTCTAATGTCAAAAATTATTTACCACAAACACATAGTGTAGTCTGCCTGTGGTCCGCCCATTCAAGTGAGTAAAATTGCACGACAGAGGATATCCAACTTAATGATGTGCACTGTATTGCAAGTAGAATAAACCTTCTGTCAGGGCTTTCCTTGTTTCAAACCCCCCTCTGTCACCGTAAGCACGAGAATGTCTGATATGTTCAGCGTATACTTTTTTGTTATTTTTTACATACGTTTTGTTCTGTTTTTAAAGAAGGGCCATTTAACCAAAAATATTTCACTAGATGTGGCAACCCTCTAAACCAAAATTCAGATGAACTTATCTACCCTCTTTATTATTTTCTATCTAGCTCCCATCACTTTACAGAATGGCGTTTTCGTAGAGTGGGGACTGGACCAAAGAGCATGCCCACTGATATTTCTTTTTCTTACATTTACTTTTAGTGGAATTTAATAACATTTGTCTTGTTTCCTCCCTTTCGCCCAGGGCCGAGTGGTCCTCCGCAGAGGGTACAAGGTCGTTTCACTAGTTCAACCAGCATCATGGTTAACTGGGATGTTGTGCGTGAAGACCAGCAAAATGGTGAAATCATAAGCTATACTGTCAGGTACAAAAAATTAACGGATGGTACTTACAAGGAAAAAAAAGTGACATCAAGATCTGATGAATTAAAGAGACTTGATAAGTACACAGTCTACAAAATTGAGGTCCTAGCTTCCACCAGAATCGGAAATGGGCCACCAAGTGAACCCATCGAAGAAAGAACAAACCAAGACAGTAAGTAAAAATGACTGATTTTTTTTTAAGTTGAACGCCGTTAAAGATATAAAACTACGCTGTGTCCACCACTTTATGTTCTTCATTCGGTGGCTCATTCGTTCATTCAATTATCCATTTATTTATTTATGTACGCTTGTTCGATTTTGAAATTTCTTTCCTAGATTTTAGGCCATTTGTAAGCATTTTACCCCATCTTTATGGTAGACAGACACGATTACATACTGGAATGTAGGAAAGTGGGCAGGGATGTCCTAAAAATGATGTTTTGCACCAGTGTCGGAAATGAGACTGACAAGTCTGCTGTGTTCTAAAACTTCACCTTTTACTTTGATGTATATTTATCACCTTATCGAGAAAATCAACCGGAAAATCAATTAACATTGAGTAATCTCTGACACTAGACTTTATTCCATACTTTCCTCGTATTATGTGAAAATCATGTTAATTTCCCTTTTTCTTCAAAAATAATATTTATTGACGCTCTGAGCTACGTTCTGGAACATAATGATATTTCATGACAATGTGGAATTTGCCCCTTCTACCATTATTTTGACTTACTGCATGTAAATAGCCCAATCACGACTCTACATATGTTATGATGGCGTCATATCATGTTCAAAATTAGAAACAATAACCAGTGATTTAAAACTGTTATTTGTTGCAGAACCTGAGAAACCTCCTCAATCAGTCACCGTAACGACAGTAGACAGCAGTAGTATCAGTGTGACGTGGGAGCCGGTTCCTAAAGATTTCCAGCATGGTATTATAACTGAGTACATCATACTTTACAATTATTCCGGTGAAGGAAAAATATCAGAACACAAGGTATTAGGAAATGTTAGCCAAGTGGTTGTTGGAGGACTCAAGCAATCTACGGAATACACAATCCGAGTTTTGGCTGCAACCGTGAAGGGAAGGGGTCCAGCAAGTAGTCCTAAATCTGCTACAACCGAAGGTAAGGAAGCAATTTAAATGGTTTCGAGTGGTAAATGTAAGCGTAAATCTGTCAGGTCACAGTGATATAAAGCAATGAACTGAATCACACATTAAGAAGGAATCATCTAGTTACTTAGTCAGTTGGTCTATTAGCCATTCAAGACGGCTGTCGAGCAGCTACTTTCTTCAGAAATGAATAAAGGACGGCACTAGTAGATTACTTGTCTGATTTGTGCCTGGGATTATTTTAAAAGTTGTCTACACCATTATTTGGGTTGATTACTTTTCTTTTTCTTACGTTCGCGCTATTTTTATCAGCTAATTTTGGAAGCAATAAAGGGATGGTTGAGGGTAGAAATAATTTCGCAATGACTATGCTGTAAAGTGGCAAAATCATATAAGTGATATGAAATTACTAGCACGAGAGCGCCTCGCTTCATCTTAAATTGTGCAGAAATATCACTTGAATCAAAAAGGTGGCCGATTTAGGTAGGAACATTAATTAGGCGTGCACAATGGCCGATCAATGAAAGTGTAAATGTTAAATTGTATTTGATGTTTGAAATAAAAAAAAAAGGTAAAAAGAAAAAAGGTCATCTTCTCTAACCTTATTTTGTTTTTCTTTTACATGTATCGCGATATATACTTTCTGCCTGCCTCGTGGTCACCATGAAATTTCACTCTATAACAAGGCAAATTTATCGTCAGAAAATTTGCTTTTTGTCAAATATTTCTCAGGAGAGATGCAAAGCCTCCTGCACCTGTTATAACTTAATACGTTTTCTTTTCAGCTTGTAACTATTTGTTTACTATTTCACCATGTTAGATCCACCAAAGCCGCAAAAACCGGACGAAGGCGACGTTGGAAAAACGGAAGTAAACATACCGTTTGTGCCGAAACAGGAATTGAGTGACGGTGCCCCAGTCACGTCAGTTTTCTTCTTTTTTTTCTCTTTTTTTTTTTCTGTTTAGTCTTCGTAGCCTAATCTCTGGAAGGGAAGTGACGAAGGATGGTCGTAACCCATACCCTCAGGGTGGCCTCTGCCCTGGTGCTTGTTTCCCTGGAATTTTTTTTTAGAACTTAGTTTTTTTCATGAAAGTGAGGTGTCGGTTGATTCTATCTTTGCCAAAGCCGATTCACTTAGGTCGTCTCCTAAAGAAACTCCTTGCCTGGCTTTAAGAAGTTCCTCCTAAATAAAAATTGTGTTTTTTGAATTTTTCATTTTTAGTAAGTATCAAGTGATAGTCATGGAACTTACAGATGGACAAGATCAAGGGAAATCGTCAGATCCAAAATATGCTAAAGTCACCAGAAAATATGAAGATCGAAAGGCAGGGGAACCATACGTTACGGCTGAATTTGCAAACAATAAAGAGAAGAGGACATCATTTCCTGTTGGAGACGGGAAGTACTACTCTTTGGAAGGTGTTACTGACGCCAAAAGGAAGCGCAGAGAGGGTGGGTCAATCGACTTGACCACTCATAATCAATCTGATATGACGTTTGAATTGACCATACACATGCGAAAAAAAATGAAAAAATTCAACCTCTCTGAATCATTTGAATTGCGTTACGGCTTCAATGCCTTGGATGTATGAAACTTACAGCGGAAAAGGTCTTCTTTGTAATTTAATTGATATGTTTATGTTGGATTTTTAAAATTATAATAATAATAATAATTATTATTATTATTATTTTAACTAGCGTTCATACGGCACTGTGGTTAGCCCCAGCAAAGGGTTGCTTTAGGATAGGTAATCAGAGAAAGTTTCAGACTAAATCATTGACTGATGTTTTTAGAGGTACAAAAAAAAATTGGTCAGTGTCATAAAGAAGTTATCTCGACACTCACTTAGGGAATGAAAGCCCAGGCATATCGTCAAACTTTTAGCTTTACAGTCCATGGTTCAGAGGCCAGACTTAGCACAAAAAACGTTGAGATTGCTTTAGTAAAAATTGTGATGATATATTTTTATTTATCTTTTTATTTTTTTACTCATTTATTTATTCACCCATTATGGGAAAAAATGTCGATAGGGTTATAGAGAAAATTTATGTCGATTTGTGGTGAGATCCATTCATTGAAAGCACGGCCTTAGTATGTACTATGATACCGAGGTAGGACGCAACTATAACACTTGAATTCCGGAAGAAAGTGAAGAAGACCAAGTAATGCTCTTCGTTAGTGCGCATGCGACAAATGTTATCGTGAACTCTTGAACACCGAGAAGTGACAAAGATGTAAATTATCCTTACAACATTACACATTGGTGAGAAAAGAGGTGATAACGATGAAAAAAATTGTCGCCTTGAAGATAAAACGGATCAGGTCTTTGAAATCTGAGCGATAAAGAAAGAAAAGAGGACGCGGCTTTACCTAATTTATGCAATTGGATTCTTATGGAATACGAAGTAAGCGTCATTAAAAATGAATGAATAATATTATGACATGAAACTTGAGCTCCTAAAAAGTGATTTAACTTCTCGAAAGTTACCTTCAAATGTTCAAAAAAATTGAAAGAAATTATTTGTGGAGTTAGTTGCCACTCTGAATTTGGCACAGCAACCTTGTCGCTTCCCTCTGCTTTCTCCCCCCTCCCGTTCTTTTTTTTTTTCTTCTTCTTTTTTTCCCATTTTTCCAAATAATTAGAGTCAGACAAGAGGTATTTTGACTCTTTTAACCAAGTTTGCTTGTTTTTCTTTTAGTCGTGGAAAAGTTTCTCAATGGCAAGCTCGAGGATGGAGCTAAGTACGTTGCATTTCAGCGGTCGTTCGACAAAGAGGGTGATTATGAGAGTGAAGGATTCGTTGACTTTGAAACCAACAAGGACCACACAGTTACAATCGTGGTAGTGGTTGTTCTAATTGTTATCATAACTGCATGTATAGCAGTGGGAATTTTCGTCTATCGTCGACGACAAAGCAGCCCTCGCAATGGCGAGGAAGAGATGGCCCTGAGACCTCAAAGACGTGGAAGAACTCTATCACAAAAAATCCTTGGTCGTGCATCAGGAGCCTTCGGTAAGAATTTCTAGAAAAATTTTCTTCCAAAAACTAAGTTGCCGCCCTTTTCGTTGCAGTGAAGTAAAAAAAAACCAAAGTTACCAAAACAGCTCATTGGGGGAAGGAAAATTATGGGGAGCCAAAGAGATTTCAGTGCAAAAATGTGGGCGACCATATAGCAAGTGGTTTCCTTCATCCGATTGGTTGAGAGAGTGACAAGGGTTTGATCTCAGAGAGTAGTAAAGGAAAACCACTACAATACTGGATACCCAATTGATGATAGCTCAATTGAGAAAATGACAGTTGTTTCTTCAATCCACAGACAACCCCGCCCACAATCCTGGGGAAGCAGTGCCAGTGGAGGAATTTGAAGAACACGTGCGTCGTTTGCACGCCAATGGCGATCTCTTGTTTTCTCAAGAGTATGGTGCTCTAAAGCCTCAAGCCGAATTCACTTGGAATGCGACTCTGGCTCAGGAAAACAGGCACAAGAACCGTTACAATAACGTAGTTGCATACGACCACAGCCGAGTTAAATTATCGCCTATACAAGGTGTACCAGGCTCTGATTACATCAACGCAAACTTTCTTGACGGCTATCAGAAAAAGAGGGCGTACATCGCTTCACAGGGACCCCTCCCAGAGACCGAAGATGACTTCTGGAGAATGATCTGGGAACAAGATTCAAAGATCATCGTTATGGTTTGTGTTAATTATTTTATTACTCTGTTTACTAACCTTCCATATAATTTCTTAATCTGGCGGTGATAAATTGAAGATCAACTGATTTTAAAAATACGGCATAGCGTACAGTCACCAAAAGAAACTGTAGCGTCCACTCATAGCTACTTGAAACTGTACTTTAATCAGTTGTTCACTTGCTAGTTCGTTTCTAATCTGCACATAACTTGTATTCATTCCATTCACAAATTGCATGTGAAAGAGAAAGATTCGCTGAAATAACAACAACGCGACTATTACAAAGATGATATTGACCGAATAACCGAAATACTGCATACTTACAAGTTATTGTGCCTTCTAAATAGAAAGGAAAACTTGTCCTAACGAAACGACAGTATAACTCCATAACAAAACATGTGCTTTTCGTGGGAAAGAGCTCCCGCGATATTTTGCGTGCGGTCACCGAAGACCACACCATATAACGTTTATTTTCTGTCTCTTACAGAAACCTTTGCAACCTATAAGAGTTTTTTTTTAATTTCTTTCTGAGAGAGCTCTACGTCCACTTGACGGTGGCCAGAAGAAAATGATCTTGAGCCACGTTATTGTTTTACAGCCTAATCATGGTCACGTATGACTGTCACGCATTTTATACATCTTTAGATTTAGCCTATCTCTTTTGTCACGTATCAGGCGTAATTGCCATGGCAAACAAATGAAACCGAAGCTTGCGAAATTTGCTAATTGAAATTGCTTGGTTATACGCATTTCATCTTTAACGAACGATCAATTTTACGTTATCCGCTTTCTGCTGGTGTCATTTCCCGATTATAGATCTTCCTATTCTTGTCTTCTCTTATTTTTCTCTTGTCCACCCATTAACATTGCCTGTCCATCCCCTCCCAGGTGACGAATTTGGAAGAGCGAGGTCGTATAAAATGCCACCAATACTGGCCGTCGGAGGGTGGAAAGGCTTATGGTGACATTCAAGTAACGCTAATGCAGATAGTGGAGCTCAGCGATTTCACAATCCGTACTTTCACTCTAAAGAAAGCCAATAGCAGAAGTGAAAGAACTCTACATCAGTACCATTACACAGTATGGCCAGATCATGGTGTCCCTTCTTGTCCTACTTCACTTCTCACGTTTGTTAAGAAGGCGTCTGGTGCTAATCCAGCAGACGCAGGGCCCATGGTAAGTTTTCTTGAAGTCTGAGTGGTGTGTAGCTCAGAGTCAGAGAGGATAAGGGCAGGAAAGGGCCAGTAGCTGTTCTGAAAAATCATTAATTATCTCAGCCAATACCACTCTTTTGGACCCCATGTTACGGCTACCTTGATTTCAATTATGGCGCGTTGTGCACTCAATCACATGAGTGTACCTAGCGTTTTTCGGGAGGGAAGCATTGAAGAAACAAACTATCAAGCGTGGCAGGCGTGACTTTTATGGGTGGAATAGTGGCATTCCCAAATCCCCCCTCTGATAAATTTTTATTCCTAGGTGCTTGGAAATTGAAATTCGCTCAACCTCTTCAAAAAATTAAGAAAGGCATGCAACATCGTTTAATATTTAACCACTCTTTTTCAAGTTGTGATAACTCCTAATCGGTGTTCGTTCAATAGGAGCGACTAGTTTTCAAATAGTTTGCAAGACATACCAGCTTAAGAAGGGGAGATTAAGACATAATGTTGGAACGAGAATGGTTACCCATGGAAAATAATTACCATGGAATTCAAATGAAAAACTGAACTAAAGAGTTAGTGTTAACTGCTCCCAGTTAACAGTCGTTCCTTATTTCAGGTTGTTCACTGCAGTGCTGGGGTTGGCAGAACTGGTACTTTCATCGTGGTGGATGCCATGTTACAAAGTATTGCTGCAGAGAAAACAGTAGATGTGTTTGGATACGTTATGACATTACGACGTGACAGAAATATCATGGTCCAGGTGGAGGAGCAATATGTTTTTATTCACGAAGTTCTGTTGGAGGCCATTCATTCTGGATACACTGAGATACGAGCGAATGATCTTAGATCCCACATGAAGCTCCTAATGCAAGTCAGTCCTTCAACTGGTACGTCTTTCCTTCATCGTTTCTTTAAATTTGTTTGGCTTTTGCATTGTCAAAAAGGCTGAGAGTTCGTTACTGAGCAGTATTTTTGTTATCGTCATGCTTGGAAACTAAAAGATTCTTAAGCGTGGAGTTTCCAGTAAGATGACGTATGCTGCATCGTAACTTTAACAATAAGAACTATAACTGGCCTCGGCTTGTCTGATAGCTCCATGGTCAACGACTCATTTACTGGCACTAAACTCTCAGATGAAAAAAGGAAGCAATGATGAAAATTTCAACTAAACGTCGGTCCGGGGGAATGCAGAGGACCCAGCTTGCAATGTTCCCACAGTAACTGTTTCCAAGAGAATGCCGTTTCCTTTTGAAAACGTTTACCTAATCAAGCGCCGTAAGAAGTAGTTGGGCCTGAAGACGTTTGTATTTGTAACCTGTACTAACAGATCTTTGACAGTTAGTTGAGTCTTAGCTGCCATACTTTCTTTCTTTCTGGTTTCCTTCGCTTCATTAGAAAACACTTAAGAATAATGAAATGACCCTACTCCCATGCTGACCTCAGAGTATTCCCTACATTTCAGGCCAAACTGAAATGGATGAAGAGTTCATCCGTTTGGGTCGCGGTAATACTCCGCAAACCAAGTTCCAGGCTGCCAACATGGGCTACAACAAGACAAAGAATCGTTATGCAAACGTGTTAGCCTTTGATGATACTCGGGTCAAACTAAGTATGATCACTGGCATAGAAGGTTCCGACTACATCAATGCTAACTTCATTGATGGCTACATGACTCGAAGAGCATTCATTGCAACACAGGCTCCCATACCAGACACTATTCCGGACTTTTGGCGTATGATCTGGGAACAAGAGTCCTCCACCATAGTAATGCTCTCGAAAGAGACTGAAAGTGGCAAGGTAATCGCGGAACATATTAACAAATAAACTCTTAGACATATAAGAATTTTATTACATATTCATAGGAAGGTTCATACAAAAGAAAAACTGAATTTATCAAAGACAGTTTGTCTTTTGGCTGTTTATTCAATTTTTCTAAACTCATTCACAATTTCGTGTGGGACAGGTAGAAGTCAGAGTTGATAATCAGACCAACTTTTCTTCGTTATTTTCTTTATGTATCTTTACTAATCCAAAATTCTTTCCAATTTGTACTAAGCAACATTCCAAGACATAGAAATGCACTTCGTAAATCTTGTCGTTTTCGCCTCAGAAAATACAGCATCATGGCTTTCAATTGCTTTTTTCCATAAGTGGCTCCTGGTAGTTTAACCCTTTAATGCCCAAGATCTCTCTAGTAATTCTCCTTACTGTCTGCCGTACAGTTCTTATGATGCTAATTCTGAGAATACGGTACGGGATCAACTAGAAAATCCTCTAACTTACATATTTTTCGTAACTCTCATCACCTGTCTGATTGATATTGTATTGGTATTGTGAGGAGAAATTTTTTCTTGGTAACTCATGGGAGCTGTACCCGAGAAAAGAGCGGTAAAGCAAAACCAAGACAGCAGTAAGAATTCATATAGGGGGCGGTAAACTGCTGCTGACAGCTTTTATTTAAACCCTGGAAGGATACAGTTTCCTTTCCGTTTTCACTAAAACAAGGGCGTCACCACTTCGGAGGTCGAAGGCATGATTCATCTATGACCAGTTTTTTTCTTTGAATTTGTGTTCGTTTTCGTATCTTTTTTTTTGGAGTAGAGTGCGAAAAACAACAGTCAGAGGTTTAAGGTTAGATTATTTCAACATTTACATGTGAAATCCTTTATCTTATTACAGGTCAAGGTACATCGTTACTGGCCTGCAAAACAGCCGGCGAATATCGGTACTCTGGTAGTGGAAATGACTAATGAGATGGTTTATGAGGATTACACAATGCGTGAAATAAAACTCACCAATACCAAGGTATCGTTACTGCTGCCAAACGGAATTAAATACATTTTAAGGGTTTTCGCAATGGAAAAATTTGAACGATAATATCAAAGTGAACGTCGCTTTAGGAGAACTTGTATGCTGCCTTAGAGGAGCAACGCTTGTTGATGAAGATCAATTCCTTAGTTAATGTGAGACTTTCTGCGATGAGACGACGAAGCAGAAAATAGCAAGGACAGAAAGCAGCGCAAATTCGCTTTGTGGGACATAAAGAGTTTTTGTGGAAACATTTGTCTCTCTGCGATCGCATTTTTTCTCCAGAAACAAGTTGCACGAAATTGAAGTTGTCTAAATCGTTGCGAGCGTTTGTTGCTGGAATTGAGGCAAAGCTTCTTTTGCGGGAAGCAATACATTCACGGTGGTTTGCAGAAATAACCTGTCTTGGCACCCTAAACCAAAGCGTGTTTCGAACTTTCTGAGTAAGATAGAAAATTTCCAAAGACTAATGAAATTTACCCAAGGTTTAAATTGATTCAATTTTCAAGTAAAAAGATCCGATGTACGGTTTGGAATTGGTAGGAGATTATTACACATATAAAGTACGTATTTACCTGTTTAACGTGTAAATTCTATCTTGAATACTTCAGGAGAGTGCTTCGCGAGTTGTCCGTCAGTATCATTACACTGGTTGGCCTGATGTTGGGTCTCCAGAATCTGGTACAGGATTAATCGATCTCATTGGTCAGGTACAAAGGTGGCAGCAGAATTCAGGAAACACAACTATCACTGTACACTGCAGGTATTTAAAGACGTTAATACTTCTACAAATTGAACACAATTTGAAGGATAAGTATTTGATCTCCGTCATTTAAAGTATCCATGCAAAATGCCGCCTTTCCACGTTCTGAACTTGCAGATGGTCACGTAATCGTTTCAGAAGTTTATAGACTGGCCATATTTAAAACTAACATCTCAATGATTTGACCGCACACACAACCACAACAAGTAGTTCACAATCAGCTATGGTTCTGTATTGCAAAACATGTTTATTTGGTCAAGAATGCCTTACTGCAAAACATCTTAGAATTCAAGCAGATACAAAGAGGTAAGAGAAGTGAGGGTTTATGAGGTTACAACGACGTGGTGAGGTTTCAAGCAAGATTGACTATTGTGGCCTTGTTTTTTGGTCGCTTTTTTTTCTTTTCTTTTTTATTGCCAAAAGTCGGGTTCCTTTCCGGAATCTAAAAACGCAATCAATGACAAAAGCTCCTGTACGTCATTAAAAACTCTATGACTTAAGTTTGGTTACATCGCTTTCTTTCATCAGCGCTGGAGTGGGTCGCACCGGAGTGTTCTGCGCCCTCAGTATTTTGATCGAGCGGTTAAAGAGTGAAGGTGTGGTGGACGTCTTCCAGACTGTGAAGCAGCTGAGAGCTCAGAGGCCCGCTATGGTTCAGACAAAGGTGAGTACGTCTATCGTTGTAAAGAAGTTTACTTTTTATGAAGCAATCTCACTCCGGTAAGTTTATCGAAATTCATCGGCTGGGGGGTTGGACATTGGCCCTTTTTGGCAGCTGTTTTCAATAGAAATTGAGGGCCGATACCGTTGGTCGAAAATAACTGGCCAGATACTTAAATCAGAACTAAATGGACTGGTTTGGAAAGTGTTCTAAAGTAATTGATACAAGTTAAAGCAGACTGATCTGACTGTAGTGTTTTTTTGTCTTTTGTTTTTTCTTTGTAATGGACTGAACCCTTCGTGAATGTACTGAACTGGCCGACTTGCTCTGAACAACTGTAAGCACCCTGTGTCTTGTGTAGACCTTTTACTAGTCCTATGAAAAAATGTTTCTACTTCTTGAAAATTTAAGGGGAACTGCGTGCTTAGTTTTATAGAGTAGCTTGTGGTAAGGTGGTACACGTCATTAGGTCTGCCTGTGGCAAACATTTTGGCTAAGAGATTACCTACTATCGTTTTGCGTTTCCTATCGTTGTAGGAATTTAATTTTGTGATTTTCGCTCACATATATTTCCAAGACATTCATGAGAATGTTTGGTATACAACTACAGTTTCGAGTTAGTGGGAATTATAATGGTATGTTGTTGACAACTGTCAGGTTGAAATAGTGAGCTATCAATGCCTTTCCTTGCACTTAAGGATCTGGGGAACAGGTTATCAATAAATTTCTTGATCGATTTTTTCACTTTCAGGATCAATACGAGTTCATTTACTCTGCTCTCAGTGAGTATTTGGACTCCTTTGATGCCTACAGTAATTTCGAGTAACTGACATGGTTGAAGATAATCAACCTCAAGGAAATAATTACAACTGACCATCAAGGTGGAAAGAGGAAAGGGCAAGAACAATTTTCTATTTTTTGTATTAAGCAAATAAGTAATTTTCTTCAAAAAGATTCCAGTTGGCCTCCACCGGTTGTAAACATGAATTAACTGACTGAAAACGAATACTTAAAGTAACTGGTAGTTTTGTAAACGTCACGTGCTCCTCTAAGAAAAAAGAAAATGAAAGCTTTCCCCTTTCAGAATAAAAACTTGTCGAGATCGTTGTAGGAATTAGAAACCATTAATAGCTTTGTGGTTATGATACAGATGTGTCGTCAAAATAATAACATTCACTTAAGACGTGCCATAGATTTTTTTTGTTTCTAGCATTATGAAAATTGCAAGAATGTTTTTAATAAATGATATAGATAAATTTATGCGAACTTCGCAAATTATAGGTGAAAAATTGTTTAGCTTTTAGAGAAGTATTTATTAGAGCGAATCAAGTACAAAAAAGTGTGTTCTCTCATAAAAGGAATATAACTTTTCACTAAGCCATTAACGTTCTTAATGCAGTCAGTTAATATCCATGCTGTTCTCTGAGAAATTACTGGGAATTTTTTTCAATATCTTTATATAAGTGGCTTAATAGTTCAGCAATTTTGTAACGAGCTTGTGTAGATAGACTTTTGAAATTCTTGTTAAAAGAAATATAATCAATTGATTAGGTAGCTCAGATAATTTGACACACTGTGAACCAAGCCCTGAATAAACGTGGTAGAGAAATATTTCTACTATTTAAAATTTCTTGGCATGGTTTGCAGTAATCAGAATAAACAGAAACAGACATGCTATTCTTTTTTTATGAACAACTTGACCAGGGCTCAATAGAAACAAGTATAAAAATTAATGTTAAAATGGGGAAAAGTTCTTTAGTGTGTTAAAAAGCAGAGAACTTTGGTCAACTTAGTCTGACGTAATTTTTTTATTTTATATTTATATTTTTGTAATTTAAACAAGACTTTTTCTTAAATGGTATCATAATAGGCTGTACTTGTGATTTTTTTTAATGTTGCAGAATTTACACAGCAGCTTCTGTTGCCAAGGTCACCTCTGCAAAATTGACCAATCCAATTGAAGGAAAAGGGCAAATAATTTTGATTTAAAAGTTTGTTGTCTTTGCCAGTTAAGTGAATTTCGGTGAAATATTTTTTTTATTCGTTTCCAGGTAGTGATTGGTCAGTTTGATTCAGGTGACCCTAGTAATAGTAAAATAACCAATGATACTACAAAAAACTATAATTGAATTAAGTGATTTGCTAGATAGGAGCAGGATTCGACACCCTGTTAACAATACAAGATATGCTTACAGTAATTATAATATTATATGCTCAAATGTGATTTTAATCGCAGGGTCGCTGACCAAATTTGAAAAATATATATATACCTTGTTTTATAAATGAGCTTTTTTTGACTTGAAGTTTAAAGGGATCTAATAGCCCCGTCCCCCCACTCCCTCTCCGTAAAATAACAAGGGAAAGTTGTTCACCTTAGTTTAAACAATCTTTTGAAGTTTCTTAAACAGTAGTTTGTCCTTGAGGGGTTTGGGTAGAGGTAAGTATTCCGCCTTGTTTTTCAAATTCGTTCCTAGTTCCTTGCGCACAACCAGTAGACACAAATGTTCAAGTCTTGGAGGAATGGTCTCCACTTGCTTGAGAAACTCATGAACCTCCGCACATCGTGCAACATGGATAGCGGTAACTTTACCACGGTTCTGATTTCTTACGCTTGCTCCAGCTGCGCATAGGAGGGCAGCGCATTCTTTATTTTCACAGTACATAGCGACATAATGAAGCGGTGTTATACCATCGTTGTCCCTTACATTTGCATCGGAACCAAACTTGAGTAAAAGGGCCAGGGTGATGTAGTGAACCTTAGAAACAAGAGACAAAATCTCTTACTCTTTTCATTGGCCTGCGAAAGCACATACAATAAACACGTGACTTTTCACAATTGAAAAACATATACATATATTGCCTTGGGCCTGTCCTGTGATAGACTACAGAGGACGTCAAAACATAAGAGCATCAGTACACACTCGGCTGCAGCCAGTGTGCCACTCGCCCTTCGTTTGTCACGTTCTTACAACGTTTTGACGTCTCCTGCGGTCTTTTCCTGTGCAGAACCAAGACAACACGAAATCAATTTGTTTTATCGGATAAAAACAAAATGCGGTTAATGGTTTTGTCATCTGAACCAATCAAAATCCGTCTATGATTCAGGTTACTTTACAAGCTGAGCAGATAATGAGAATTCGACGTTGCGTGAGAACCAGGTTTATGACTAAGCACCTAGAAGTGATTCACTAAATGAATTTCGGCAAAATAAATGCTTGGAAGCTTACAGAGTTGGTCGGGCTTTCATTATATCGTACCTCACCTTCATTCTTTCCCGAATTCGGATGCCAGATCGAGCCGCCATCTGTAATGGTGTTTCTTGGGTAGCGCTCCGCGCGTGAACATTGGCGCCGTGCTCACAAAGGACAGAAACTAATTCAGGGTAACCATATGAGGCAGCCAGGTGAAGCGGAGTGTACTGAGAATACTGGGCAGGGTCCACATTACATCCTGAATCAAGCAACAGCTTAGTGCAGTATGTGTTTGCTCCTTGAACGGCGTAATGCAGAGCAGTGTAACCATAGTTGTCTTTCTGATCAAGGATTTTTTTGTCTTTTGAGCAATTTCTGCATAAAACATCAAGACTGTTGTAAACGTCATGAGAAGCAGTTATGTGCAGAGCTGTCCTGCCATACATGTCAACACTGGATAGAACTGTGTCACCTGTAGATAACAATTTTCGAAGTAACTCTTGTTTTCCCAACAGCGCAGCATAATGAAATTCAGGCAAGCCTTGGAAATGATTTTGAAGTTCTCGAGGTTGGTTCATGTTCACTTTGTTAAAACTTCTAAAGAAGATCCTTAATTCTAAACGATCTTAAGGCAAGATGTATTCAACAGCAAGAAGAAGACTTTGCCATTTTAACTGCTTTGTCTGAAAGAGCCCACGTGATTTTTGCTGACGGATAAATTTAAACATTTGACTTTTCGAGCACGAGCGCGCGCGCAGCACGGAGAGACGATCTTCAGGTGCGCGCGCAATATGACAGCCTCTCCATGGCGCGTTTCACTTAAATATATATAAGGTTCATACAGCCTGCCTAAGCAGAACTCAACGAGATTCAAACAACGACTCGACGAGGACTCAAAGGGGGCTCAACGAAAACGCTACAACATGATATATTTATTATTTTCAACTGAGAGCGACTTCGCACTAAGCCTCGTTCTCGCGCTGAAATTTCGGCACCAGATCACTAAATCGCGAGACCTCGGAAGTGGCCTATTCCTTAGAGATAACTTATCTTCGAGGCTTTGATGTGTTCCGTGTTGACTTTTCATGTTCTTCTGTTAGTAACTTGCTAAAAAGTTTTGACATGTTACAACCCTAACGTCTAAAAGGGCACAATCAAACATCGCGTGTAAACTGTAAAATTTTCTTCCTTCTCAGAATGTTAGCTAATAAGTTGACTTTATTTACAGGTAGTTATCCTGGCGCTTTACGTGCCCTACCTGCGCAGTACGTCATCTTTACATGTAATTACATATCCTTAGTTAAAAACTTTCCAGCGAAACGAATCGTTGCCTGAAATAAGAAAATGCGATTAGCAGCGTGCCTTAAACTTTCCATTCTGATTAAAAAATTCGCATTATCTGGGCGAACAGGCTGGAAGGCGAAATTAATTTTCGTAAAAATCTTGCTCATCGCAAAAGAGAAATTGAGACACTGCATTGGACTTGATCACAAGGAATCCTTAAGCAAGTTTCATAAAAATGGGAAATATATATTGTTGATTAATTGATTTTTTGGGTAGGATTATCTATTTATTTTTTGTCCTTTTTACAAATGTGAAATATGTGTAATATATCACTGTACCGCGTTATCTTGTTGACTGCTTTATCAGTAATGAAAGACGAAACAAAACAAAAATAGGTGCAACTGAGAATTAGGAATGTCAGCAGCTATGCAAAGATAACAACAGCAACAAAAAACAATTTTAAAACGTTAACATTATAAGGTGTTGTATACTATAAAAATCATACCCATTTTAACGTGGATATTTTTTGGAGTGTTAGAAATTGAAATTTTTCAAAGCGAAAAGTAATGACGACATTTTCGTTTTTGTCTTTTTTTCGTTATTTATTCCACATCGGTTTTATTCAGTAAATACAGAGTCCGTAAATAATCCTTATTATCAAAAGGATTGGCAAATCAAGGCGATGCGATTCCAGGTCAAAAGCTGCAGCTCGTTCTTTTTTTTTTCGGAATTTGTAGGTAGCGCGAGTGCGTTTGATGCATAAAAGAGATCGAAGAAAGAATCCTAAGGAAACTGAGTTCCATGAACTCTGTGATTCTACGCTTGTGTTTTCTTCATTTTATGAAGAAAGCGTGCCCTTGGTTCACGGGATTTTTACACGTCTCATGGGAATATGCACGACAAACAGATCACAGACAAACATTTGTACGATCCGCAACTTAAAAAAAAGGAAAGGGCTGTGACCACTCGACTGACAGTGACCTTGCCTGAATTTGCAATCCCTCTTGGTTATGCTAATTTACGAACACATCAAAACCATTATCGATCGGGTTGAACAAAAATGAATTTACTACAAAGGCGATAACGGATATTTGAAAATTGATATTGCCTGGATCAAATAAGCTGAAAACATTGTAAAAATGATCGATCGCTTTGCTGGTCAAACTGTATTTCTGATGATTTATCCCTAAACTCGATGTCCTTTTTCCTATCACTAATACAGATTCTTATACTCATAATTTACTGATTTGGAAGCCCTGAAAGCAGTAACGACGTCGAGTGCCTTACCTCTGCAGTTTTCCGATGGTAAGAGATTTCTAGTGGGATTTAATGAGTACATCATTTTAATTTATTACCGTCTCTCAGAAAAACCAAATTACAATAGCTTCTAAACAGCAACAAAGGGCCAAAAGCAATTCAAGTTCTCTCACTATCATCCATTACCATTCAGTAGTTACCGCCATCGCAAGTCAATCTCTTCAATTTCTTGCGCTAAAAAGAGAAAAACACAGCGATCACCACGGATGTTTGTCAACACGAGGGAGGGTATTTGTGAAGGTTTGTTTTTTTTGTTTATTCCCCTCAGTCATTGTTATTCTGTTCAGGGGAACCGCAGTTTATCTGGGACTTAGAAAACATGATACAATTGTTTTGACTTTGTAGTTGCTATCACAACTGTCGCTGTCCCATGACCTTTTTTTTCTGGCCATCTTAGTGCTCATGAAAATCCGAAGATGTGCGAAGAATTTGAAATTATTAGATATTCTCTTGTCAGGATGTCTCGCATTAATGGGAAATCGCAAACGACTATTTCATAGCAGAAACTTTAGAACCCAAGCTTTAAACTTCTTGAAACCAAAAATGGGTCCTTAAAAATATAATCACAGACTTTCCTTACTACACGGTGGTAAACTTGCTGTTTAAAAATGACTCGGTCTTTCGCAGTAGTTCACACAAGGTTTTAAAATTACAATCTTTTACTTTATGGATGACTGAAAATATGCTTACTTGGCAATCCTTTGGTCGGATATCTTAATTCATGACCTAATATCGCAAATTGAACACTTCTGTTATTGAAACTTCTCGGCTAACTTTGTGCGACAGTATTACAAAATGATTTGGGCAAACTTTTGTTGACAGCTGTATATCATGGACAAAATCGACATCATGAAGGGCGTATCGGAGAGTTTTACAGTTCTACAGGGAACAAAAATTCACGAAAAAGGAAATTGGAAAATTTCTGAATTTTTATTCTTGTGTGAATAAAGTATTGTATTCTTGTGGCAATCCTTTGGTCGGATATCTTAATTCATGACCTAATATCGCAAATTGAACACTTCTGTTATTGAAACTTCTCGGCTAACTTTGTGCGACAGTATTACAAAATGATTTGGGCAAACTTTTGTTGACAGCTGTATATCATGGGCAAAATCGACATCATGAAGGGCGTATCGGAGAGTTTTACAGTTCTACAGGGAACAAAAATTCACGAAAAAGGAAATTGGAAAATTTCTGAATTTTTATTCTTGTGTGAATAAAGTATTGTATTCTTGTGGCAATCCTTTGGTCGGATATCTTAATTCATGACCTAATATCGCAAATTGAACACTTCTGTTATTGAAACTTCTCGGCTAACTTTGTGCGACAGTATTACAAAATGATTTGGGCAAACTTTTGTTGACAGCTGAATCATGAAGGGCGTCGGAAAGTTTTACAGTTCTACAGGGAACAAAAATTCACGAAAAGGGAAATTGGAAAATTTCTGAATTTTTATTCTTGTGTGAAGTGCGGCTAAGAGAGCATCCTCTCTTGGAACACTGAAATTGTCATAAAAAAAATTGATCGCTTCCTTTCAAACCTTATTTCTGACGATTTTCCCATCTCTAATCGAGATTTTAAAGCTTTTCATTCACTTATTGCAAGTGGTTTCCGAATTTTTGAAAGCCTTGACGGCTCTATAGGGACATCGAGGGTTCCCATATGGATTTTTCCGAAAAGAAAAGATTTGATTCTTTACAATAGTACCTAAACAGCTGCAAAAGACTAAAGTGAAGGAGGTTCTGCCATTTTCACCGATTAACATTAAGTTTTTCCGCGAACGCATGGTATTTTTTCAACAAAGATTTAAGCTGACTCGGCCAAGTGCGGTGTCAGGTTTCTGAAAGGTATTTATAATGTTTTGCCTTGATGGCGTACACTGAAATTCTCTTGAAAAGATCGGTCGCTTTGACCTCAAAGTTTGTATCTGATATTTCATTGTTAAATTCGAGCACCTTTTTCCAACACTATAGAGGAGTTGAAGCTAACAATGAATCCGGGGTTAACTATTAGCCGTAAATTGGCCAAAAAATATTAACCGTTAGCCGTAAAAGCCATCACCCCCTTTGAGACCCTCAGCCATCATTAAACGTCGAGTCTCTTTTCATTACATTACAGAAAATTAAAGATTTCCATAGCGTTTTACTGTTGACTTCCTGAATTTACAACCGTGGCAGAGTTGAACCAATATTTAAAAGCAAAAATAAATAAAAGAAAATTTCTGAAAATCTTAAAAAGATATAATACCTGTCATTATTGCTTAGACAAGTCGTTGTCGTCATCACAAATCAGCCTTTTGTGAAGAATTGTTCAAAATGATAGATATTTATTTCCTACCCAATTTTTTAGGCCATTAGTTTTTGAGGGTGCGCTAAACAGCATACATCTAAATCATTACCACACTGGATGTCACTTCGCATGGAGGTGAGAATCTGTGAACTTTCGTTCGTTAACTCCTTCAGATATTAGTGTGAGTATATGTGAAAATTATTTTGTAAAATCCTTTAAATGTTGAATCCTTTATGGGATCCGCTTTTTATCTAAGACGCAAAAACGAAATTTCCTTTGAGATGGAAATCGCTATCACTGACAGCAATCACTGGTGAACTTGTAATCAGTTAGAAGGGATTGTAAAAATCAAGAAAACGAGAGAGGCATGGACGAGCTCTAATAGGCTGATCTGCTTTTGACAACAGCGAGTGAGACAGACATTAGAATTTCCAATATTTAACCCATTTTGAGGCGCATTTAGACTTCGCCATTATTTTGCATATATCGGTTGATAAAAATAAATAAATAAAAAAAAATAACAAATAATAATAATAATAATAGCAATAATGATGATAATAATAATAAGATACAAATGCGCTCTTAGACCCAATCACTGCAATCTCAGGACTGTTAACAGAGTTATATATTTAGCACGTAAAGAATGATGAAAGCTGTTGTTTTAATTATTCATTTCTTTTATGGAGTT